TTTTCAATAATTCCAATTGGATTCTGTAAACCTCTCATATCGTTTTCAGGCTGTGTGTTTACAATTCTATGGTTGATCTAGAGACATAAGGAAACAGAGCAAATGGGTGGGCTTTTGTGTGGATTCTGCCACAATGCTAGACTGGCTGAGTCAAGCCTAGATCAAAGGTAAATGTTTGTTTTACAATGCCTTCCCTGTAGACTGAGTCCCATACAAATGTCCTTCTTTTCTGTGATGCCAATTCCATAGCCTTTCAGTGTTCATCCAAAGTGTAATGTTCTATTTTTCTGTGACAAATAGGATCTCAGGACACAACTGTAAATTAGTTGCCTATACCCATTCCAAGAAATAACATATAGTTGACTTAGCTCCAAAGATTTACCATGTGGTAGGCTGAACAATGGGCTTTCCAAAGATGTTCATGTCCTGATCCCAAAGTTTTGTAAATATGTTCACGTATAAGACAAGTAAGACTTAGCAGTTGTAATGACATTAAGGATCTCGAAATGGGATCATCCTGGATTATTCAGGGGGGACTCAATTATGAAAAGTCTTTACAAAAAGAAGGCAGAAAGTGACAGTCAGGGGAGATATGACAGAAGCAAGCAGGAGTGATTAGAGGAAGGGGCTGCTAACCAGAAAATGCAGGTGGCCTTTAGAAGGCCAGAAGACAGACTCATTTCTGAAGCCTTTAGAAGAAACCAGCCTGATGACACCCTGACTTTAGCCCAGTAAAATTGACCTTAGACTTCTCATCTCTAGAACTGTAAGTTGAATTTGTGTTTGTTTTAAGCCATTACATTTATCAGAGTTTGTATAGCAGCCATAAGAAACTAATACAACTAGTGTCTTTCAGATGACTATGGTTTTAATCAGGTCTTTAAGTTTCTTCTCAGCCTTTATCTTTGAATAGACCAGTACCCTTGCTGGCTTGGTGGCCTGTCTCCACTCTTTGGGGTCATTGCCTATTTGTTCCTGTGCACCTCCTATAAACTGCCCTTTCCAGAATTTCATCACCTAGTTTCCAGCTAGGTCCAACCCTAGAAGGGTTGAACACAGGAGGAAGAAGGGCCAGTGTGTTTTTAACCCTCTCTCTGTGCTATAGATATGGTACCTCCAAGAGTCACTCTGCCTCCTCCATAACCCTGGCTCCCACCAGTCATAATGCCCCTCCTTGGTCCTGGCTCCCATAGGGCAGAAGCCCCTTCCCCATCTACCACTTGCCTCTATACTTTTACTACCTTCTCCCTTTGTCACCCAAGGCAAGGATGGGAGGTAGCTGCTTTCTGTGTTGCATACTTCTGTGTTGTCTCACCTTCCCCTATTTACTTTTTTAATTCTTCCAAATTATCTAGTTTTCCATATTAGATTTCTACTATTAAAAAAAAAACTCAAGTCATTTCTGTATTGCTGTTGCAATTATGTCATTCTTCTCCATACCCTTGGTCCTCCGAGGGGAAATGTAGCACTTTTCTGCTTAATTCTGAGATTTACTTCAAAGCCTGAGAAATGCCACACAGTCAGTTCTCTCTGCCTCCAGCAGAAACATCCTCTGACTCTAGTCCAGAATTTTCTAAGCCCTACATTTTCCAGACCATATGACTTTGAACACTTTATTTTTGTACCATTTCAACTTCATACTAATTTGCCATTTATATATTAGTCAGTCTGGCTGTCTTGAGCCAAAGGAATTTGTTAGAAGGATGTAAGAGCTCAGAGAATCATCAGGAGAATAGAGAAATAAGTATTAAGCTATTAAACTCAGCAGGTGTAAAAGACACTCAGGGCTAAACAGAAAGACAACAGAGGGGAGTACTCAGATAATACTACTGTCCTACCCCTGTGGTGAATGGCCTATTTCTCAGATTCTTTCAACATTTATTCAAGATTCAGATTCCTCAGACAGTGAGGAATCTCACTGATTGGTTGAGCCAGGTCATGTGTCCATCCCCCAGAGTGAAAAAGGATGAATTTCTTTAAGTTTCCTTAGAGGAAGGGATATACTTTCTCTGCCATCAGGACAACACACATGGGAGAAAAAAAAATCTCCTGCAATGAAATGAAATAAGAAAGGAAATCAGCTATGGAAAGGAGATTGATTTTGGACTGCCAAAAGCAACAAATGACTACCATCTCCTACTTATTTTTTGTTTCAAAATTCATTACTAATCCTTTTCATATTACCATTCTCTTAACCTTATATTTCCATTGTCTCTGTGAACTCCCCTTACCTTGGTTCACCTCTAAATCTATATGTTTTCAAAAGGTATTAATGTTGACTTACCAGTAGTTGGAGGTTTTTTAAATCAATTTTATACTGAACAAAATATTGACCGTCTATTACCATCTCCTTTAAGGCAGGTCCAAATGAGATTACCTTTCTAGGCACTGAATTGGTTCCTCAGTGGAATGTTGGGCTTTGGGCTTTTTTCTTTCTTTCTTTCTTTCTTTCTTTCTTTCTTTCTTTCTTTCTTTCTTTCTTTCTTTCTTTCTTTCTTTTTCTTTCTTTCTTTCTTTCTTTTTCTTTCTTTCTTTCTTTCCTCTTTCTTTCTTTCTTTCCTCTTTCTTTCTTTCTTTCTTTCTTTTGCAATGTTGGGTTTTCAGTAGACATCTGGGATAAACAAAAGTTTTGAATCTTTTCTTACACTTCTGATTTACTAATCAACAAAATAGCTTGTTTCCCCAAAGATGCATGGTATTTCTCAAGTGAGACAAACACACCATTCGACAGTCATCAGATACTTATAAAGTGGGTCTTCATATTACTGTTGCTCCATTGCCTATCAGGAAAAGTTTTATGGCTCATCCTTCATCCTTGGCTCTTGTGTACCAGCTATACTTCCTTCCCTGAAGCCTTCATTGAGGTCCTTCACAGTGCTTGATGTAGAAAACAAAGATGTGTTGCTGTACATGGCACTCATCAGTGAATTGCCGCTAGATCCAAGTCTGAGGCCTCTAATTCCCTTTGAGTCATTTCCTTTGTTACACAACCATTTGATAAAGGACATGGAGTCCCCATCAATGAGTGGTGAAAACAGTGGCATTTCCCTAAAGTAGCTTCAGCCTCAGAAATGAGACTCTTGCTTCTTTTGTTTTTTGCTACAATTCTACAAACACTGACCCTATGCTGTACAATGGCTTCTTTCCTCTTCTAGAGACAGGAACTTTTATCAGCTCACCCTAACTGCCTGCATTATGCAGTGCTTACTCTGGACTCCCTGTGGTGAGTCACCATGTCACATTGTACTTGTCCAGAACAGAGATATCCTTAACAAGGACACTCAAAATCACTGATGGAAGAGGAAGCTGTTAGTAACTTTCCTTCCATCAAACTGAGCTACATCATTAACTTGTCCTCTGTGTTATTTTTGGAAGTGATTTCATTCTTTGCATGTTGGTATCTATAGTTACTTATCTTATTCGAGCATATCTCATAAGAAGATGAAGATAAGTCTCTTTTTGTTAAGCCTCAATTGTCTTCCTTAGAATCACAGCACAGCATTCATATACTGCATACTATAGGATTATTGAAAAATATAAAACAATTCTCTCTACCTCATAAAGCTCAATAAATACTTGTTAATGAGCTGCCAAATCCCACTCAATAAGAGAAAAGTCAATTACATAATGATTTCTCTCTATAACAAGAGCATTCAGGGGCTGGGGATTTAGCTCAGTGGTTCTGCCACCTGCCTCAAAAGTGAAAGGTCCCAAGTTCAATCCCTATTACCAAAACAAAAACAAGACCATTCATTAATTCCCTCATTAAATTTATTGAGTGCCTAACATGCCAGGCATCAGAATAGACACAGGGGAAACAATAGTATGCAAAAGAAGACATTGTCTCTACTCTCCTGGAACAACAGGTATTAATAAAAAAATTACATAGAAATGCAAACTGTAATGATGACCAATATTAGGATGAGATGCAAAGTGCTATAAAAGCTTCTAGTGATGGGATCTAATTAGCAACCAGTTCAGGAGAGTCTTTCTGGAGGAATGTTACTTGAGCTAAACTCAGAAAGATGAGGGGATCATTTAGCTGAATAGAAGAGAGAAGAGTACCCAGGCTAAAAGGACAGCTTTGGGGCAAGAGGGAGTGTTAATCACAAAAACAACGAACTGGAAAGTCTTTGTGTCTGCAGAGAGACAGAGAGTAAGAAAAAGTGGGGCAAGACAGGCACGGGAAAACACAGCCACATGCCACACTTAGAGAAGGTTGTTTTTCTTTATTACATGTTTGCAGTACAAAATTGTCTTGGTTACTTTTTCATCGTTGGGACAAAACACTTGACACTCACAAGTTAAAGAGAGAGTAGTTGTTTTTTTGTGTTTTTTTTTAAAGAGTAGTTTATTTTAGCTCACCGTTTGTAGGCGTTTCAAGCCATAATTGGCTGGCTCCAAGGCAGGACAGCATAACAGAGAGGTGTCACAGAGTTCATGGCAAGGCAGGTAGGAAGCAGAAAGCAGGGCCTCAAGGACCCTTGACTTATGAACTCGACCAGTTCCTGAAGGCTGGTTATAACTCAAGTTGGTTGTAAGTCAATACACCTGAGATCTGGATTTTTACCTGGGTGCACCCTATAGATAACAAGAGGCAGATGAATCTTCCATTAACCTAATTAGCCCAAGTTGTTCATATGTCAGGCCAGCTGTAACTTGAGGGTCCACTGTGTGTGTGTGTGTGTGTGTGTGTGTGTGTGTGTATAAAACCATCCTTCCAGGCCACGCCCACAGTAACTCATCTCTTCCCACCAGTCTTCAGCTCCCAACAGCACAACCAGCTATAAACCCATCAGAGGACTAATGTAGTGATAAGCATCCCACACCCATGATCCAGTCACCTCCCAAAAGCCTCACCTATGAGCACATGAGGCTTTGGGGGGACATCTATATATAAGCCATAACAAAAATGATTACATTTATTGTGGGGAGTTGATACACATACATAATACGTCTTAATTCTTTTTTTTTCCATCCCCTCCCCCTCCCCTTCTTAGGAGTTTGATCCCAAAAAGTATGGATTGGAAGGTTCTACAGACTGTGGAACAAACAGACCAGGACTGTGTTTGAGAAGGGGAAACATTAAACCCATCGGCGCCAATCAGTTTTTGTCACCACTTTTTCTGGAGCATCAATATGGACCTGAGGTCAGCATGGACAAAAGACACCACAGAGGACATGAGGCATCCAGATGCCTCTGCTCATTTTTGTGTGTTTTGGATCGGCTGTGGTCAATGGCTTGTCACAGTTACCAGGTCTATAATAAAGTGTGAAAATCCCTGACCATGTATTCACGATCTCACTCCATGTGAGGTAACAGTTCTGCTGCTCAGTAATCCACATTGCCCAGGCCTCCAGTCCCACTTCTAGCTGATGAAATTGCTACCAGATTATATGTATGCAGAAATTTCTATGTCTTTGTTGCAGAACCTAGGAATCCCTTGTGTTTTTTTGTTTTTGTTTTTTTCCCCTTCTTTATGTCTATCTGGGCAGACCTACTTGTTGGTGAGCATAAAGATTTGGAGAGGGTTAGTAACATTAAGAGATTTTTGTTTTGAAAGTACACCCTGGCTTTAGTGTGTGGAACAGATTAGAAGGGGATCATCTAGGGATAGTGAGACCATTAGGAGGTGATGGAGGCTTAGGTAAGTGTAGAGATCAAGAGATGAAAGGAACAGAGTCAAAGGGTATTTAGGAGGTAAAAGTAAACAGGTGGTGGTTACAGATGAGATTCTAGCACTTGATTTACACAACTAGATGAGTGCTTGAGCTCATTTAAAAACTCATAGCAATACCATTTTCTAAGGTAGGGGACATGAGAAGACCAATTTTGGTCCTGGATATCTAAGTCACAAAAAGAAAAAGCCTTTCTTCTTTCAATGTTGGAGATTAAACCCAGGGTCTTGCACATGCTAAGCATGTACTCTGCCACTGAGCTACCCCCTAACCCAAGAAAAACTTTTAAAAGTACAATTTTCCTCACACTGAGGAGAAACCAACAGTTGTGCCATAGTAGAAGAAAGTATGTAGGAAGCATGGGAAAATCTGGGCCCAAGAGCAAAGGCACAGCTTCCATGAAAGCTGTGGATCATTATTATTTTCTACACAATTTTATTATTACTACAAGATAAAGCACTTAATGAAGCTCTACAGATAAACATGGAAGAGGCACAAAGGTGGGGAAAATGTCCCAACTATTCATCATTGACCAATATAAGAATTTTTCACTTGGAGGCCAAGTCAGGCCGAGAAACCAGGGGACTCTAATGGACAAATAGTTGGTGTTCAGCATTCAGACTCCACAGAACACTTGTGCTATCCTATGGAGGGTTGATGAAGTTCTTACTTTGTGGGAATGCACCAAAGCACTCCAGCATCTCTGAGACCTGATCCATCCCTAAAACTTGGCAATACTGAATTCATCCCACAAAGGATTTAAGATACAAGCTATCAGAATACCTCTGATGGTTTTGTATGTTTTTGATCTAGGAAGTGTGTAACACATCTTCCTTCTGAAGACCACTAGCTTAAATCAGTGTGGGATTAAAGTACCTGACATATCCATCTGGAACTGTCCTATTAAGCCCAGGGAATTAAAGGAGTGATAATAGAGATTGAGTGGAAGAGAATGAAGGCATGCCGACGAAGGCCAAAATACTACAGGGGCTGCTCAAGGTACCAGTCGAAGGAAACATTGATACAGTGGCTTAAAGGACACAGATCTTTGCTTCTCTCTTCTGCAACAGTCCCACATGATGTTAGAGTCCGGCAGGTGGCTCCATTTCATGAGGTCATTCAAAGAACCAGGCTCTTTCCATCATCATACAGTCATCATCCACTAGGTCTGCTTCTCACTCAGTTGTTCTGTCAGTACTAATATATGTTTGGCAATAGAAACATAAAGAAATTCCAGGTAATTTAGGGGTAATTCCAACTTCTAGCAAGTATCACTCCCCTCATTTCTACTAAAATTAATGAGTTGAGCTATTTTTATCCAGTAAATGCACTCTGATTTAAATAGTTAGTAGGAGGTACAACTTGGTTTTTACCTTCCAAGTGATGCAGTGTTCATTATTAGTCTGTTACATTAATGTAACAGATGACAGATCATCAAAATGTTTAAATGTTTGTGTCTCCACATTTATATCTACAAATGAAAAGGAATAAGATTAACTTACTCACTGAGACGCTGAAGGACTAATTATTTTCACTATGTAGAAACAAACAGTATAGTTTGTGGGTGGACAAGGTTCTGACATGGGTCACATGACATAGAAACAAGTAGTATGCTAAGTACAGTTCCTGGCATATTAGTGCTAACTCTGTCCTTTTTTACACTATTCATTGCAATGCCCCAGTGTAAAGGGCAACCCTATAACTACTACCTGCACCAAAGAGTGCCATAATGATGTTGTTCAGTCTCAAACTGAGGGCTCTGGGATCATTTTAGCAGAAAAAAACACATAGAAGGTATTTTACTAAACAAAACAAAACTATAGATAACACGTTACTCAATAGTATGAATCATTGAAAGTTGGGAGGAGGAGCCAAGAAAGTAGATGACAGAATTAGAAAAAAAAGGATCTTAGCAAAGTGAAATGATGACTAAATCTACCAAGTGCATGTAAACAGAATAAAAGAAGTATAAAATAAAATAATAAATATAATAAATAATAAAATAGAATAAAATAAGTATACAGAATCCTTTTGCATCCATAAACCAGTTCCACAAATACAGGTTTGAGGATATATAGTTTAGAAACAACACAGGTAAAACAGTTTTAGAGTTTTAGATTATTTAAAAGTCAATATGACATAATTACACAGGAATAGTTAGTCTTGGGTTCCATTTATAAAATATGATTGTGTCCAGCAAAAGAGATGTAAGTGTTCTGCTCTGGTGAAACCACAACACGACTTGATCGTTGCTTCCATTTCTGAGAACACCTTCGGAGAACACTTTGAATTAGCTAAGTCTCTGTCACTGATACAATAAGACCATTGATACAGTGCCTTACAGAACACAGAATCTTGCCTCTCACTTGGGTCACAACCTCAGGTCCAGGCTGGCAGGTGGCTCTGTTTCACAATGTCATTCAGCAGACCAGGCTCCTCCCATCATCATTGCATCACTGTCCACCAGCACATTGTCATCTACCATAGGTACACCACTAAGTACAGCTTAAAGGATGGAGGAAGGGCATGAAAAAGGCAATGCATTCTCTGAAGGTGCTAGTCAAGAATGGCAGTCATCATCACCACTCACCTTCCACTGTCACCCAAAATTCCTCACACCTACCTGTATGTGGGGAGGGAGAACTGGAGATGATAGTTCTGCTACCTTTAATGAACATAAGTCTATCCAACTATAGTTTCATAATAACAAAGGAAAGAGATAACATGATTTTGGTAGCTACAACACAATCTCTAAGTATTGGAGAAATAGCAATGAGAACATTGGAGAAAGAAAGGGTGTACATCATGTTAGGAGTGTATAACATTAGATAAAAATGAGTATTTCTCACGGAAGTTATTAGACTAGTTCTGTGTAGGACTAGAACAGTGGTGGCAAACACGGCACATGCACCTCAGTAGCCATGCACAGCCCTCTCTGTCGGCACATGAGCCAAGTCGCCCTAGCAGCTGAGCATAAGATAGCAGTTGTTTTCTTCTAAATAAAACCTCAGTATTCATGTTTAATTGCTGTCTTGGCACTTTATGATAAATAAGTGGGTTTAGGGTGGCAGTTTGGGTACTTGGTCTCTAAAAGGTTCGCCATCACTGGACTAAGGGCTCAAACTAAAACAAATAGGTAAAAGACATTCTAAAATAGTTATTAGAAGATAAAGAGGACTTCTTGAGGAAGACTTTCTTCTTATTCAAGGAGCTGGAAGAACTTTGGACTTCTCTTATGGTTTGTAGTATTTGGAGCATTCTGAGTGGCCAAGTTACTTCATTAATATTCCCTTCTAGTGCTGGGATTCTGTGGTTCTATATAAACTTCTTTATCAGTCTTAGAATAAGAGAAGAAAATCTCAAAATTTGTTAAGTGCCTGCTATGTACAAGTTCTCACAACAACCTTATGAAATAAGCATTATTCACATATTACTGATACTCAGAAAGATGAGCATAAATTGTTTAAACACTCAGAACTAGTCAGTGACATTGCTGGGAGTACAAATAACATCAGGCTGATTGCTTAACTTAGTATGTTTCTACAGTGTTGCTGCTGCCTCCGAGAAAGAAGATCGAAACTAAATTAAGTGCTTCTTCTTATTTCCTTTCCTCTTTCCAGACCCTCTTCCTCCAAATCCTTTATCTTATCAGGGTTGACTGCCTGGATGTTCTGCAGGATTTAGCACAACATCCAGTGTCTTTTCCAGCTCTTTCTAGTGGACCAAATGATTGATATGCCACCCATATTTTCCCAGCTGAGGGTCAGAGCAGCCTATTCATCCAGAAGTTTCTGCCTGTTTCACTTCTTCCTTAAGAAAAAAACCCCAGCCTGTATAATTCCTCAGTGAATCATTTTTTTTTCTGTCACCTGCCAGTCTGTTGCCTGAACCTTTCTCATCCTAGTCCTGAGTGCTGTAGGAAATAATAAAATTTAATTTGAAATTAATTCTTCATTCCTTGTGCATTGAAATGGATGTCAAAAGTGAATAAATCACCACTGAAGCTTCCACCATAGAAAATTTACCCAGATTCCCTCCAAAGAGAGCATGACTCACACAGAGCACCTGTTTTGTCTCCTTAGTAACTGATCTCTTAGATTTCCCTCTTATATTTACATGCAGGCGAGAATAGCAAATTGACTGGGGGCAGGGAAACGGTTCAAAGCATGAAGAGTGTGCTCTGGGCAGAACGTCACCTGTAACACTGTTTGCCAACCATCTTGTGCTTTATGCATTCACTTAGTGTCTCTGTTTAAACCCCAGCATTGATTTAACTGCAGACTTAGTGTAGAGATAAGTCTGGAAAATTATTAATGGCCTCAGGGAAGGTTTGGTGACGCACAGTAAAAATTGATACTGGTGATGGAGTCCTCTCTGTTAGAAATGTGTCTTTCTTGACTGTAACCTTTGCTACAGTTACAGGTAAACACACAGTTCTATCAAGGCAGAGGTGCACAGGGTAGAAAGAGGTTCAATTAAACTACTTATACAGCTTTACCACTGGAAATAATATTCTAAAAATTGATTTTATGTGTTCTATGAGATTTTGTCTCTTTCACTTTCTGGTACTGTGGAAAAATTTTTAAAGAATTTTTAGAGCTACAGAG